AGAGCACGGCGCACCATCACCCTGACTCAGTCACACATGGTGCACCAGGTCCTTCAGCGCTTCCGCTTCACGTACTCCTCGCCACAGCCCACTCCTCTGGCTACCGGCCACTCGCTCTCAGCTCCACCTTCGGACGAGTCCGTAGAGCCGAGTGGTCCGTACCCAGAGCTTGTGGGCTGCCTCATGTACCTGATGACGTGCACACGACCTGACCTCGCGTATCCTCTCAGCCTTCTGGCTCGCTACGTGGCACCCGGCAGGCACCGAAAGGTGCACTTTGATGCTGCGAAGAGGGTACTGCGTTACTTGTGCAGCACATCGGGCATGGGGCTCGTGCTTGGAGGACGGGGTCCTGTGGTCCTCACAGGACACTCTGACGCTTCTTGGGCTGACGACCAGGCGACTCAGCGTTCGTCACAGGGCTACACCTTCAGTCTTGGCGCTGGTTCTGTCTCGTGGAGGTCCACTCGTTCTTCTTCTGTGCTTGGTTCCAGCTGTGAGGCCGAGATCTACGCTGGGGCCATGGCTGCACAGGAGCTCCGTTGGCTGACCTACCTGCTGACCGACTTGGGGGAGCGGCCTCGTTCTCCTCCAGTTCTGTACGTCGACAACAAGGCAATGCTTGCCTTGTGTCGCGAACAGAGACTGGAGCACAGAACGAAGCACATTGCTCTGCGCTACTTCCTTGCGCGTGAGCTGCAGCAGCGTGGTCAGCTGCGCCTTGCTTTCGTGGCCTCTCGGGCCAACACTGCTGATGTCTTCACCAAGGCCCTTGCGGCTGGTGATCATCAGCGTTTCTGCATTGCTCTTGGGCTTGTGCCCACTCTGCCTCACCTGCTGGTTGCTTGACTTGCTCTTGTTGTACACTGCTATATATCTTTATACCTGCATGTTTCCTCTTGCTAGGTTGTGATCTGTGTACTGCCTTGCTCTTATAAATCTGCATGTGAACTGGCCTTGTGGCTGCCTGCTTGTGCTCAGATTGTGTGGTGTCCTTGAGATCCACCCTGGGCTTTGCCTTTCTTGTTCTCTTGCTTGACTGGTCTTGTGACCACTGTTAGGCTTGGCTATCCCCTACTTCACCTATGGGGGTGTGTCAAAACATATTGTTCTGCTTATTTCACTCTAGGTTGTGTAGGGTTCTTTCCTTAGAGGGTACAACAATCTCTCTCGATAGTCCTTGTACCCCCCCCTTACCTAATCGAACTCACTCATCTAGCTAGTAACTCTAACACCCGTTCCGAGCATAAAATGTGAAGCAATGTTACTCGGATCCTGGACTGCCAAGCACGATCATGTTTGCCACAATCCTAGATATTCTAGGATTAGGTTTAGGGTTTACATATTGACTTGAGTCTTGAAGTCAGCCCAACTTAAATGTACCAGTATTTGCTAGCTAGATAGTTTTGATGTAGGATGCTCATCCTAAACTTGTTGTGTGCGTGTGAGGAAATAGGTGGCGAATATCGAGGATGCGATTCAGAAAGTTCGAGAGATGGGTTCTTCTGAAGGCGCGCCTCCATCTGGGTTCTTCCACTTTCTGTTCGTTTGGTTTTGCCGATCAGAGCTGCCCTACGGATCCATAGCTCCATCTAGCTACAGCCTCCACTCCATTTCTTTCTGCCAACACTGGTCATCACGAACTTAATTAGTCGAGGGGTAAGGTGAAAGCATGGCTGACGAAGCGAAGGCGAGAGGCAACGCCGCGTTTTCGGCGGGGAGGTTTGAGGAAGCCGTGGAGCACTTCACGGACGCCATCAAGCTCGCGCCCGACAACCACGTGCTCTACAGGTGCGTCCTCCCCGCCCCTTCGCCACTCACGCGCTCACCTCACCTGCTAGCGCCGCATCTCGCGGTATTCTGTTCGTGTTCGTGTGATCTGCGAAGCGACCGCGCGCATAGCAACGTTCACGGTCGTCGTTGGTTCTGCCAGTCGTCCTCGGTAGCTGCCGGGCCCTCAGCGTCAACCCCGTCAGTCATTTCCTCTGCCTTCTCCCCGCTGCTAAAGTCACCTGTCTCGCCTCTCGTCGCCCCCCTGCTCGCAGCAACCGGTCGGCGGCGCACGCGAGTCTGCACCGCTACGGCGACGCGCTGGCGGACGCGGAGCGCACGGTGGAGCTGCGCGCCGACTGGCCCAAGGGCTACAGCCGCCTGGGCGCCGCGCTGCACGGGCTGCGCCAGTACGCGCGCGCCGTGGAGGCGTTCGAGCGCGGGCTGGCGCTGGAGCCCAGCAGCGCCGTGCTGCAGGCGGGGCTGGCGGACGCCAAGGCCGCGCAGGCCGCCGACGAGGCGGGCGGCGAGGGGGGGAATCCGCTGGGAAAGGCGTTTCAGGTGAGTGCAAAGGAGAATTGGAAGAGGAAGGCGGGCGGGGATGCGCGTGCACCATAGCTGACTCGCCCGCTCACCCCCCCTTCCCTGCAGGGTCCTGACTTCTGGGCGCGGCTGCACGCGGACCCACGCGCTCGGCAGCACCTGAGCGATCCCGCGTTCCGCGCAACGGTGAGCGCCGTGCAGAGCAACCCCGCTCTGCTGAACGCGCACCTGAGCGACCCGCGCATGATGGACGTGCTGGGCGCCGCGCTGGGCATCAGCATCCGCTCCGCCGGATCCGCGGACGAGGCCGCCGCGTTCGCCGCCGAGGGCAGGGGGGAGGAGGGCGGCAAGGGGGAGAGCAGATCGGGTAAAGAGGAGAAGGAGAAGGAGAAGGAAGCGGGAGGTGCGGAGGCGATGGAGGAGGCGCTGACAGACGAGGAGAGGGAGGCGAAGGCGAGGAGGCAGGAGGCGGTGAGGGAGAAGGAGGCGGGCAACGCGGCGTACAAGCGCAAGGAGTTTGAGAGCGCCGTGGAGCACTACAGCAAGGCCGTCGAGCTGGACGACTCTGACGTCACCTTCCTCACCAACCGCGCCGCTGTGTTCCTTGAAATGGGCAAGGTGAGACGCTGCTGACACGGGGAATGTGGATGTGAAGGAGTGTGGGAGGGTCTGTTTTTCTCTCGTCATGTTCTTTCAGATTAAACATTGCTTGCTGCGCTGCTCACTCCTCACTCCCGCGCTCCCATCTCGCCTCCAGTACGCAGAGTGCATAGCAGACTGTGACAGGGCGGTGGAGCGGGGGCGCGAGGTGCATGCGGACTTCAAGGTGGTGGCGAGGGCACTCACGCGCAAGGGGACAGCGCTGGTGAAGCAGGCTAAGGCAGCCCAGGACTACGAGCCCGCCATTGCTGCCTTCAATAAGGTCATGTCTGGCCCCTATCCCCCTCACCCCTGTGTCACGCCATTGCTTCCGTCCGCCTCATCTGATTCCGTCGCTTCCTGCTTGTGCAAACTTTATCTTCTCTTCTTGGTCATTAATGCGGCATCACCATCCATTGGTCGTCTGCCTAAATAGATGCATCTCCATTTTCTCATGGGGGCAGGCCCTTACGGAGCATCGCAATCCCGACACACTGAAGAAGCTCAACGAGGCAGAGAAGGCAAGGAAGGAGCTGGAACAGCAGGAGTACTACGATCCAGTCATTGCCGACCAGGAAAGAGAGAAGGGTACTACCTCTTATGCTGCTTATTTCGAAAACAACGAAATTGGTGTCAAGGACAGGTGTTGTTGGTGCATGTGTGTTTGATGTCCTCATTGCTCTTCATTCCCCACCTCTCTTCATGTTCTTCAGTGCTCTTCGGGCTCCTCACTGCTCTGCATGCTCCTCCTGGTTGGTTGAACCTGAGCCTTTCTGTGCCACCCTTCCTTGGTCCAGGCAACGAGGAGTTCAAGCAGCAGAAGTTTCCTGAGGCAGTCAAACACTACAATGAGGCCATTAAGAGGAATCCTAAAGACGTCAAGGTGTGCATTCATATGCTGTCGTCTTACTGCTATTCGTTTTGTGCCTTGTCCGGTTCCTCCTTTCTACTTACCGTATCTGATGGCATTCGGACTTTTCTATTTCCGCTGCACTTCGATTTGACACACCTCTGCTGTACCGCCTTCGCCATTCCACCATCAGTCGTACAGCAACCGAGCAGCGTGTTACATCAAGTTGGGCGCCATGCCGGAGGCAAAGAAGGATGCGGAGAAGTGCATTGCGTTGGACGAGTCGTTTGTGAAGGGGTACTTGAGGAAGGGCGCAGCAGAATATTTCATGAAGGAGTATGACCATGCCATGGAGACCTACCAGCAGGGCCTCAAGGTGGAACCAGGAAACCAGGAGCTGTTGGATGGCATCAGGAGGTGAGCCACTGAGTTGAAGAGAAACCTATTGTGCTTTGGATCGAAGCCTTTTTCTCATCCGTCGCTGTATTGGTGTTTGTGGCTGTCCTCATCAGCTGTGTGCAGCAGATCAGCAAGGCCAACAGGGGGGACATTGCGCCAGAGGAGCTTAAAGAGAGGCAAGCCAAAGCGATGCAGGATCCTGAGATCCAGTCCATTCTCACGGACCCAGTCATGCGCCAGGTGCTCACAGACTTCCAGGAGAACCCTCAGGCAGCCATGCAGCACCAGAAGAACCCCATGGTCATGGCGAAGATCCAAAAGCTGGTTGCAGCAGGGATTGTGCAAGTGCGCTGATTGGAACTTCCAATTTGGAAGTGCTAATACCGTAGGGGAAAAAAAAAAGTGTTCTTGTGCTAATACCATAGGGGAAAAAAGCAAGCTTTAGGCAGGTTAGTGTGCTTGAAGCTTGTAGTTGTGGTGACAGAAATGCAACTCTATCGTGCACAGGTGCTGGCATCAGAGATTGTGCCAGCGGTATGGTAGGCTCAGCGATACGGTACTATTTCTTGGTACTAAGTCCAATCTTCCAATTGAATGGGTTTGAACTGTGGCGCACATGCTACACCCACTACGGATGTGTACTGGTGAATAGTTTTCCAGCTATGCTGATGGGGTAGCTAGCATGGAACTTGCAGTGACTATATGGACAAGACAAAGTCCATGGATATTATTCAGATCTACAGCGTTGTACATAACATTTAGCCAGTCTGAATGAAGTGGTGTATTCACGACCCACCCACTAGTGAGCCTCTTTTCTCAGCCTCTCCAATCGACTGCTCCACTCAACAGTCTCATTCTCAGAGACAATACCACTCTGCACCTCCACACGCGGCCACTCCGTGGTAGGACTAATGGCTGCATTTGCTTGCTTCAGCATGTCCAGCCGGTGGCTCCACTCAACCTCATCTGCAACTTCAGGCTCATCATGCATGCTCGGGCTTGAGTCACCATGCCGTATGGAAGGGCTTTTGGCAACATTCTGAAATGTTGAAGAGAGTGTAGACTCCTCTCCACCGCTCAACGGTCCAGAGAATGATACTGCCAGACTGCTGCTGACAGCTATTTCAACAGCGCCTCCAGACCTACCAGTAACTGATGCTGAATCTGTTCCATGCAACATGTGTTCCTCTTTTCTCGCATCTTGGAGTAGCTTGGCAACCTGCATCAAGGATTCACGGTTATTTATGCACATCAGCCAGCCCCTCTAAACTTCATGAACATACCTTATCAATTGTTGGTCGTTTCTTTGCTATGTGATTTACACAGTCCAGTGCAACACGCCACATGCACAGAGCCTCATCAGCGTTGTACACATTGTTCAGTTGTGGATCCAGAATCTCTCTTATGGTCTCTGCTCCAATTGTCTGTTGCCACGCCTACATGCACAACACAACGAAGGACGGCAACAAAAAAATATAGTTAGCAGGACTCGCAATCAAGTTGACGCCGAATCCCGAATGGGTCCACGCGTGAGTCATGCCCGTCGAGCCAACCAAGTTATTCAATGACAACTTTCAACTGTTTGAGACCAGTGCTGTGATTTGGGATCTGTATTTTCACCTTCGAGACAACATTACATACCCATTCTACAAGACTCTGGCCTTGAAAAGTCGAAGCTGTGACATCCACGGGCTGTCTCCCTGTAAGGAGCTCCAGCAGTAGAACACCAAAACTGCGTGGCACTTGCAGCTTAGAGGCAACGTGCAGTTATCAATGAAATCCGACTGTTGAGTGTTACCTGTAAACATCACTCTTTTCCGTCAATTGCCCTGAAAATGCGTAGTCAGGGGCCAAGTATCCTATGGTGCCCATGACTCTCGTAGTGACATGTTCAGAATCATCTTGCAACAAGCGTGCCAGGCCAAAGTCACCAACCTGTATGATAAAAAACAATGTAACAGTTGGAACAAGTGCTGCCGGTGGATGAGAACTGCCATTGCACAAACCTGAGCATTCATGTTTGCATCAAGAAGAATATTAGAAGCTTTGATGTCACGATGCACCACTTTCGGATAGCAATCATGGTGAAGATATGCCTGAACGACACAGCATGACCAGGAAAGGTCACAATCAGCAAGATAGAAGCCGAGAGAAATGCTCTCGTAAAAACGATAGGGTTGCAAGCTGTGCTCTATCAAAGAGCGAACACAGGTACCTACCAGACCCTTTGCCGCATCAATTGCCATCTGAAGCCTTCTTTCCCAGCCAATTGGTGATGTGCAAGCATTGCCTGTAAATACGCTAGTTAGTGTAAACGTATTGCATGACAACAACGCACTGTTTACTGACCATGCAGGTGGTGGTCGAGTGATCCATTAGCCATAAACTCAAACACAATAAGTTCTTCTGTCTCCCCAATGTGGTACCCCAGTATCCTCACAAGATTCCGGTGATGAACTCTGCTAAGAATTTCGACCTGAAACCATTACAATTTTTAATAGGCCAACGGATAGAGAAGATGTGAGAATAACTTACTTGTTCATTGTTCCAACGTACCTCTGACTTGAACTCGTCTCTTCCATGCAGCATTTTATGCCTGTGAATTCTCTTGACAGCAACAATTTGACCGCCTGCCAGCACACCTTTGTAGACTTCACCGAAGCCACCCCGACCAAGATGATTTTTGGGAGAGAAATTTAGCGTTGCCTGTTGAAGCTCCTCCAAACTAAATTCGGTTCCCTTTGACTTAATTTTCTGCTCTGACGGATCCGCCGATACTCTGTGCCCTGTTGCAGTATGCACAAAGCTAGCAGACATTGACGCTTCCGCAATTGGGGTTACGTCTGATGATATGCGAGAGTCTGGAGCTGAGCCAGTAACACCCATTGCCATCTGATCTCTTGAAAACGCAAGCTGGTCCATGGGCTGTTTCGCATGCTGCGAGACCAGTCCTTCCTGCCGAGTATCCAGGTTTCCTGTTGGGGCTTACACGCATAAGCTACATGATCCATCACTGCTTTTAAAAACAGGGTAAAGTTCCCCATAACTGATATTGGAGTAGTCTTAATGTACCGCAGGTGCCGATGCGTCAGATAGTGGAATAAGGAAGACGACAGAAATGCAAGACCGCTGATGACAGCAGCGGCAATCCACAACCCTTCGGTTGTGTTGTATAACCCCCACGTTTCTGATGCTTTTGAAGATCCGTATATGAGCAAAGCGTCTGCGACTGCACTGCTTATCCTGCATTGAGACATGGAGCATAATGTGCTTGGGTATCCTTGCACACAGTTAAAATGCAATATAGGTCACAAACCATGACGTCGCACAACAGCCACGCAGGAACAAACGATATCGTTTTGAGTAAGATAGATTTTTCTTCTTCGGCTTGATCATGTCAAGTAATTGAGTTATGACCTGCAATGTTGTACTTTCATTAGCAACATAGGGAGCATACAGGTGGTCCAGCTGTCCCCGAACGACTCTGCTTACCTCTAACACAAGTGTTATAGCGATTAGAGACATCGAAGCCCAGGAAAGCGACATGCTGCTCTTGTCAAAGGGGAAGCCCTCAGAAAGGTAAGCGCGATTATAATACGGGTCATATCCTTCATCCTTCAATCCTTGAGTAACATTGCACCGAGCAAATGGCCAGTTTGCAGCATTCGCACACCAGCGGCTGAGGCACTCGATTTCACTGATAAAGAAGGACAGAACGTTAATCAAAATGTTACTTCGTACGGAATATTCAAGCTTGCTAACACTCACTTAGGAGCTCCCTGATTGTAGTAAAGCTGGCATGTCATTTGCTGTGCATAGTAATCAGTGCGAGACGGGAACCTGGCAGCAAGAATGCTAACAAGGACGGTGGAAGTTGCCAGCAAGAGAGCTGCTAACGACCCAGATGCAGCATTCAGATTCACGCGAAATGCCTTGTCTGTTTGCATGGTAGCCATTCCACAACTAGAAATTCAAGAATGGCTTGTTCAAGAAAAATGATTCTGGAATTTGAAAGTGAAATTCAACAGCCTTCGATTGTACCAGTTGGACAAACTCGAACGGGCTGTTCGGGGGAGTGGGTGATTGTACCAGTTGCACAAATTTGACGAAAGATTCACGTTTCGCTGAGTTACAGAACGACAATCGGCTTCGTGACTCGACTCGTGGCAAGGAGGTATTGGTCCAAAATTCCACGTCAGTCCCCCCGTTTCAGCCCCCTTCCCCACCAAAATACCCCTGGGCTCGGCACTGACCACTAGCAGTTCCTCTGGTGTTGGCTGAGTTATGGCCACCTTATGGCGGCAGTTTTGTCAGGCTCACCGTGGGACAACACCACACCACTTAATGGCGCAAAACTCTTGCGCTTCGCGTTGCATCCGCGGTGGTGGTTCGCGCTTTTCTCGAATCGATGGTTCTGTCTCGCGGCAGCGTCATGGGTGGAGGCTTGTTCAGGCGTCAGCTACATGTTCGGCCTGTACTCACAGAGCTTCAAGGAAACGCTGGGTTACAACCAGCAGATCCTCGACATGGTTGGCATGGCGAAGGATATTGGGGGAAACGTAGGGATTGTGTCAGGATTTGTCGGCGATATCGCACCCACGTGGGTCGTTTTGGCGATCGGGGCCGTGTTGAACGCGATTGGCTACGGCTTCTTGTGGCTCGTTCTGACGGGACGGCTGGGCGGCGCGTGGCAGCCGCCAGTGTGGGTGGTGATGGTGTTCATCTGCGTGGGCACCAACGGCGCCACCTTCTTCAACACAGCGGGCCTCGTTACTTGCGTCAAGAACTTTCCGCACAGCCGCGGCCCTGTAGTTGGCCTGCTCAAGGTATCGCTTGTTTTCGCTTTTCGACACGGAATTACAGTTCGTGAATTACCGTCTTCATTTTCGAATCTGCGTACTCCTTCGCACTTGTGCTTTCTCCACGCGCATTCACAGTCGACTCTCTGGCGCACCCACCCTCTCCCCCTTGTTGCGCATCCTCCCATCCTCGTCCCACCCACTGCAGGGCTTCATCGGTTTGAGTGGCGCGCTGTTCACGCAGTTCTACCTCGCGCTCTACGCGCCCAACCGCGATGCGTTCCTGCTCATGGCGGCGTGGCTGCCGTCGCTCGTCGCCGTGCTCGCCACGCCCGCCATTCACCAGCTGCCGCCCGCCAGCGAGCCCTCTGAGCGCGCCAACCTCATGGCGGTGCTGGCAGCAGGCGTGGGCCTGGCGCTCTACCTGCTCGCCGCCAGCCTGCTGGACCACTCCGTGCACGTCACCTGGCACGTCAGCGCGCTCATCTCGCTCGGCGCGCTTGCCATCCTGGCGTGGCCCGCCCGCATCGCTGTCAGCCAAGAGGTGGTCGCGGAGCAGCAGCGCGCCGTGCATTCCGCCAGGCTGGCAGCAGGGGAGGCCGTGGAGGAGGGCAATGGCAGTCAGGGAATGCCGCATGGAGAAGGGGGGAATGTCAGAGCAGGAGGGCCAGAGGCAGCACACCTTGGCCGCAGTGGTACAGAGGTACGGCTGAGTGGCAAGGGAGCAGGGCAGGAAGGCACCGATAGACGTGCAGTGGTGAGGCAGAGGGTGATGGGTGAGCGGCACACACAGGAAGAAGAAGAAAGGCAGCCGTTGGTGGGCAGTGGCAGCAGTGGAGTGCGGACTGCTGCTGCACCACATGCTGCTCCTCTCAAAGCCAGGGAGAGTGAGGCGTGGTCAGAGCAACATGACCCCAGCAGCGATCACTCAGGAGCTGCTACAGCCTTTCCGCAGGTGGGGGACGACCACACGTTGTGGCAGGCGGTGCAGACGCTGCCCTTCTGGCTCATCTATGCAGCCATGACGCTCGCCTCAGGGTCGGGCCTCACAGCCATCAACAACCTGGGGCAGGTGGGGCGGTCGATGGGCTACGAGCAGCAGGCAGTGGGCATCTTTGTATCGCTCATGAGCATCTGGAACTTCCTCGGCCGCTTGGGAGCAGGGTACATCTCAGAGCACTTCCTGCACGAGCGTGCTGTGCCGCGCCCCGCCTTCATGGCCGGCACTCAGCTCGCCATGGCAGCGGGCCACCTGCTCTTTGCGTCCGCGCTGCCTGGCTCGTTGTACGTGGGCTCTGCCATTGTTGGGCTGGCGTATGGGTCGCAGTGGGGCCTCATGCCCGCAGTGGCGTCGGAGGTGTTTGGCCTGCGGCACTTCGGCACGCTGTACAACTGGCTCACCATCACCAACCCCACCGGCTCCTACCTCCTCTCCGTCTGCATCGCTGGCTACCTCTACGACTACGAGGCGGAGCACGAGGCTGCCTCCTCTCCGCCTTTCCCCATCGGCCCTGCTCCTGCGCCTGCACCAGCGTCAGGAGGCCCGGCGTTGATGTGCCATGGAGCCCACTGCTTCAGAGTCACCTTCCTGGTCATGGCTGCTGCCTGTGTGGTGGCCTCCTGCCTGTCCCTGGTGCTGGTGAACCTCACCCGTTCCCTGTACCTGGCTGAGTACACCCGGTGCCTCAGCATGGAGGAGCCTGCTCCACCTGGAGTTGATGAAGTCTCCTGCAGCTCCAGCAAACAGCCTGTTGAGAGGATTAGTGAGGTGAAACCACTAGTCAGCCAGGACTGAGTCACTACCGTATTAGTGATTGGATAACACCTTGCTGAACACTTCATGAATAGTTGGTCCCACTGAAATTGTAAATATAGGTGTAACTTTGCAGAATTTACTATTTGCACATCTCTGTTCATGCAGCTGGCAGCAGAGCCTTGCCTGCAGGGGCAGGGGTGATGTCAAATGGCAGCTGCACGTCCTGTGCTTCTGCTGCTGCAGATGGAATGAATGGAATCTTGAAGTTGACAGCCTTGTACAGACACAGGTCGTCCTGCTGGCAGTAGTACACCTGGTGGGGATGCACAGGAGGCAGCACAAGATGGTGCATGAGGGAAAGGGTCATGGCAAGGCAAGGTGGCAGGGGTGGGTGATGCCCATACAGTGCAAGTAGTGTGTGGTACCTTGCAGTGAACCTGCACCACCAAGCTGCCACTGCTGTCAACCGCTTCTTCCTGAGTGAAGTCCAGTGAGGCGAGGGCGAGCGACCCGGATAGAGTGAGGTCACCGGCCTGTGGTGTGACTGTCACTGCACTCCCTGCTTCCGGCAGCTCCACACTGAACTTGCTCGTGGCGCCCTGCTCGCATCACACGCACGCAGCACAGGGCATGTTGCGTACCAATGCCCGGTGTCTATGAGGTGACACAGAGGACATGAGCGAGAAACACTGCAGTAGCAGCAGGGGTAGAAGGTGTACAGGAAGAGACACACAGGCATGAGCGGGAGGGGTGAGGAGGGAGCAAGGCAGGGTGGGGAGCAGGGCGAGGCGCACAGCAGTGAAGTGGTAGTCGGCCGGGATGGAGAGTGCGAGCTGCAGCGTGCCCCTGGCGGCTGTCACTGGCGCCACCTCCACCACCTGCTCGTCCGCCTTCTGCCGCCGCCTCAGGCGCCGCTGCTGAGTCGACGAGGAGGCGGCGGGAGGAGGGGGGAGGGAGGAGAGGTCGAGAGTGGAGAGCAGGGCGGTGGGGGAGGAGGCGGATGGGAGGTGCAGGCAGCGAATGAGGCTGTTGTTGGTGTCGGCAATGAGTACCGTGCCTGGTGGGAGGAGGAGGGGGGCGGTGGGCGGAGAGAATGGAGGGGATTGGAAGAAGAACGAAAGAAACATGAATGAAGGATGTTATGGGTTGATAATGTATGTGAAGCAGGAACAAAAGGAGGCACAATTCATACAATACAAACAGATGAAGATGAAAACAGAAGGCCGACTTTCTCAGAATCTGGAAAACTTGAGTGCAGGGATAAACGGCAATGCGGCATGTGCATGTGATGCTTATGATGTGAGCACGACGCCATACCATCTGGACCATGTGCCAGGCCTGCTGGCTCTGAGAGCTGCAAGGGTGAAGCAGAGGTGGTTGTACAAGAGGCAAGCAGGCCACAAGAAAAAAATAAAATGGAGAATGTGAGAGGCGATTAAAGTGGGAAGAAACATTCAAGATCGTGCACATAATTGCTTTCCACACCAACCAGGAGATCCATAACCCTATTTGCCCCGCCCCAGTTAGAGCTTTGCTTGCCTGTGCCTGTAATCCCGGGCCGTCTCTGAAACCAGCTGAGCCGGTGCCTGCGAGGGTGACCACGGAGCCACGAGCCGGATCCACCAGCTTGATCTGCACCGTGCATCGTCAGGCATGCCGTGAGGTGTGATGGGCATGATGGCATGCGGTGTGGCATCAGGCATGCAACAAAACAAGGATTACATGGAAGGGAGTGGAATGATAAGCACATAGGAGGAAGATTCTGAAAGGGCAAAAACCAACGTGGCTGGTTCACCTTGTGGTTGTATGAGTCAGCAACAAGCACCATGCCATTGTCCAATGAGAGCGTGCCAAGTGGATGCTGCAGGAGAGCTCTGGATGCAGAGCCGTCACGGTCACCAAACTGCACAACAGGGGGGACGAGAGAGAGGGGCAGGGGTGAGGGTGAAGCGGCACACAACAGGCAAGGTACAGCCAGGCAGATGCAACAAGGCATTGGCAGCACAGGTGGCAGGCGCAGGAGTAGTAGCGGCACAGTGGAGAGGCCAACGAGTGACAGGGCCGTGAGAGCAAGGCTGGGCAGGCAAGGCTAAAGGCAGACCTTGAAGAGATTCTCAGCAAAGTTGGCGTCGCCCCCAGCGATGAGTCTGGAGCCCCCCGTCTGCAGATTGAGCGCTCTCAGCGCACTGCTCTCACTGTCCGCCACGTACATCTCCCTGCCGCCTGCACACTCGTGGGGGGCATGGGGCGTGGGCAGGAGTGGGGGGTGGGGTTGGGCAAGATGGGGGTGTGAGGGACACGTTGTGTAAAGGCACTTGGGGTGGTGCCCTCACTCTAACGGGGAAGCTGCGTATCAGTGGAAGGGGCTGCACTAGGGAATAAAGGCAAGGGTCAGCCTTTTTCAATAAAAGTGCGTCAGGAAATGACGCCAAATGCATTGCATACTCGTCTGTCCTCCATGCCACACCTCAACATGAGTCATCACTCCCAGCCCGTCCACATGCAAAATGATAAAGAGGCTGCTCACCTGGGGCCAGGGACAGCCCCGACGGCTGGGCATACGCCGTGTCAGAGCCCCTGGGGAGAGGAGGGTGGTGGGGTGGGGGTAGAACAGCAAGGAGCACGGCGCGTTTTGAGGAGGGGGCGGAAGTAAGGGAAGGCAGATGGATGTGTTGACACCGCCATGGGGGAATGACGCCCTTACGAAAGGCTTGCACTCACATTCGGCCGTTCTGGTTCCTCTCGTAACCCGACCCGCTGAACACCATGCATCGCCCCGTGTCGAGATCGAACCGCCAGATCTGATGCTGCCCCGCCATGGCCACCATCACTGCCGCCCTGTCCGCTGTCAGCTCCACGTCCCACGGCGAGTTCAATGACTGCCAGGCATGGGACACACATGTGCATGCAGAGGCGCAACGTTTGAGTGGGTGGGTGGTCTTCCGTGGAGGATTCGAGACAGGAAGTGAAGAACGGGAAGTGGTGGGGAGCAAGGCAGCAGGGCATGCAGCCACCATGGCAGCACATCACAAGCACACAGCAGCCTCGTCTTCCCTTGTGCTTGGCCTGGCCTCACCTGCTCTCTGCCCCTGGCCCCGCCCTTGTAGTCCTGCCCCTTGCGCCCATCCCCTGCCACCGTGGTCACTGTCTCGGCCACCAGGTCCACTTGCCTGCCCGCATGCCACATGCCACGCACACACAGGCACACAGGACATCGGGGGCAGAGCAGAGAGGGCAGGTGGTCTGGGAGAGTGAAGACAAGCACTCAAATGGCTCTGCAAGCATGTGTGCGGGCACGTGTGGGCGCAGCCATGTGAGCCTCTACCAACCAGTGCTGCCAGTGTGGCATCATCAACCAGCACGGTTCTGCCATGGCCCATGGACCGGAACCTACCTGACTGGCTACACTCTTTAACTCTTACCGCAGGGCATGGTTCTCTGTGTCCGCCACAAACAGGAGGTTCCGAGAAGGATCATACGCCACGCCCTGAGGCCTGTTGAACTGAGCCGTTTCAAACGACCCGTCCACCAGCCCGTCACCCGCCCCTCCTATATGCGCCAGGAAACTCCCTTGCAGGTCCGTCACCACCTGCACGCCGACACAACGCCACAATGGTCCCCAGTGGGCCGATTGGGGGGTGGAGGGCCAGTAAGGCGCGTGAATGTGATTTTTTATGTGCAGCAAAGGTACAGAGAGAAAGAAGCGCAGCTGGTGGCAGGTAGGCAAGGCGGGGCAAGGGGACGGACGATGCGGTGATTGTTGGAGTCGGATATGAAGAGGCGCCCGTTAGCCAGGTCTGAGGCCAGCTTGCCGGGGAAGCGCAGTGGCGACGCCACCACCCGCTGGTCCCGGCTGCGCTCCAGCGCCAGCGGGATGGGCGCGTCGCTGAGTGCGCCCTTGGCACCGTAGTACTCGAGGGCGGCCGCTATGAGGTCGTCAAACAGCTGGCGGTTGCCCTCCCCCGGTACCATGGCGATGAGGCGACCCGTGGGCGCCACGAGGGCCAGTGTGGGCCATGATGACACGCCCAGTGCCCTCCACATGAGCATGTCCCCGTCGTTCACCACCTGCTCGGCACACAGCCACGCCCACCACACACACAATCAAGCCCACCACACAAACGTGAGGCACTGGCTAGTGTTGTTCAGAATCTCCGAAGGCAGTCTATGGCCCAGGTGGTTGTGGTGCAGAGAATGCGCGTTGCAGGGCGTTGAGGGTACATGTGGGAGTGAGAAGCAGCAAGCACAGCATACCGGGTGGGCGACATCATATCTGAGCACGGCATTGCGGATGGCCTGCAGGTCCTTCTCGTTGTCAAACTTGGCCGAGTGCACGCCCACCACCACCACCTGGTGGGTGGGCCCCATGCACAGAACCGAGGGACAAGGGGACAAGCACACACGAGAGTGAAAATGTAACAAGGGGTTTCTCACATGCACGGCAGCATCCCCTACACTTTCTGTATGCACAGCCAGGACATGACAGCCAGGAAATGCACAGATCACTCCTTTTCCCTTACTGGTTGGCCCTCGTATTTCTTTTCGAGGGCGGCGAGGTCTGGCAGGACGTGCATGCAGTTGATGCAGCAGTACGTCCAGAAGTCCAGCAGCACCACCTTGCCGCGCAGCTCCTGCTCCCACGCACAGAGGGGGGGTTGGAATGCGGGGGTGGGGGAGGGGGTAGAAGAGTTGAGGGAGAAGGTCATAGGTGGAAGCTGGGGCTATGTGGAGCATGTTAGGTGTGCGGGGCATGTGAAGTGGAAGAAGGAGCAATGGCAAGGGGGGGAGCCACGCACGCGGTCGAAGGAGAGGGGGGCGCTGTTGAGCCACTGCAGGCGCGGCTCAAAGTCCGGCACCACGTCAGCCGCACCACTGCTGGGTGTAGGGAGGGGGGGAGGGCAGAGACGGTAGGGAGGGAGGCAGCACACAGTTGGCAGATGTGGTGGTGACGAACGAGGTCTTTTTATGGCACAGCTGATGCTGCCTTGCCTTGTTTGCACATCTCGTTTCCTACACCGAAACACCTCGAGCACCCCCTAAACCACCCACCCTCTCCGCGTGGCTGATGCGATGGCACGCACCTGCGGTCCAGCTGCTGCACGCACCTGCGGTCCAGCTGCTGCACGCACCTGCGGTCCAGCTGCTGCACGCACCTGCGGTCCAGCTGCTGCACGCACCTGCGGTCCAGCTGCTGGATGTACTTCACGAGGCCACGAGGCCCCGCCGCATTGGCGGGCGGCACAGCCGTGCCCGTGAGCATGTTGAGCAGCGCCTTGGGGGACGCGTATGAGAACGCCTGGGGGGCGACGTGCACACACGGGGAAGGGGAGACGGGTACGGGGGAAAGGGGGTGAGGGGGTGGGGAGGGGGGTGTAAATGGGTGGGAGGCAAGAGGAGAGGGCAGTGGGTGACGATGGGGAATTTTGGGTGGTGGGAGATAGAGGGGGAGGTAGAGGGGGAGGAGGGGGAGGGGCGGACCTTGAGGTTGTCGAGAGTGAAGGCGGTGGTGGCGAGACCCATGGCCAGGCTGCTGTACCGCATGGCGTCCCGCCGCGTCACCCTCATGCTGCCATGCCGGGCACACGCACAGCACACGGGCGGTGAGAGGGTGTGAGCTTGGTGAGTGCAGCATACAGGAGTGTGGTAATGGCACACCCTCCAGTCCACGCACCCACCCTCCTGCCAAGAAACTCACCCGCCTGGCAGGGGAAGCGGCTCATCTATGGACGCCCACAGCCCCTTGCTCTCCCCTGATGCAGCAGGCGCACACAGTGATGCTGCTGGGGCTCCCAGGGACAAGGGCGAGAGACGATGAGATGAGGACGTGGACAAGGTCAGAAACAATACATAATGTCGAACATACGGATGGTGTGAGGGAAGAGATGATATGAAAGAGGAGATGGACAAACAGGCAATGTGAGTACGAGGAAGTGAGCGTGAGGCTGAAGACAAGGCAATTCATAACATAATGCGAGTCATCATTAGCAGCATCAAGCTGCTTGGCAGGAGGCACTAGATCACAGCTGCACACTAGTGTCACATTGCCATGGCCCATATCTACCCAATACTCTAGGAAACCTAGGTCCGTTGCCCGCTACAGTGCACACAAGGCTGGTAGCTGCAACCGTACTGCTCGATGCTAGAGAACAAGCAAGCGACAGGGGCGGCCTGCAGGAGGCACAGGCTAGCTACGAGCTACCATCAGCTGTGGCAGCCGTGGCAGCAGCGCCAGATGAGCCGTCGTCTTCATCTTGGAGGTAGCGCAGAGAGGTGATGTCAGCCACGCTGATGTCAGCGATGTCTCGGCGAATGAGAGCGGGGCGGCCAGCGGCAAGGCTGGCGGCTGACAGGGTGGTGGTCACGGCTATGGACCTGAGGGGGGGAAGAGGGATGGGGAGGGAAAAGGGGAATGCGGAAGGGGAAAGGGGGGAAGGGGGAAGGGAGTGGAGGGGAGGGGAAGGGAAAGGAGAAAAATGGGGGGATTGAAGGACAACCCAGCAGAAATTAAATCTGTGTGAAAGAGAAGGTTCTTGGGGTGTGGAATTTGCTGGTGTAGAGAGTGCAAAGAAGCAACAGGCAGTGATTTGTTGAGTTCACCGCCTCCCCTGTCATACTTTCACCGTATTTTCCGCTCACCTCACCATGATCATATAAAGGCCACCCACCTCATGCCAGCAGCTGTGGCTGCCTGCACGCCTGCGAGAGCATCTTCAATCACCACACACTGGGGGGGAGGGACACAATCCATCACGCAAGCCAGTGAGACAGAAGCAGTGGAAGAAACACGCGGAGTCAGCCAGAAATACAGCAATAACGACAAAAATCCTAGAGCCCGAACCCCCCCTCACTGCCTCTTGCTGTCACCGTCTTCCCCAAGGAACGCCCCCCAAGCCAACCTCACCTGGTGTGTGGGCACGCCCAGCTCCTTGGCAGCGGCAAAAAAGATGTCGGGTGCCGGCTTGAGGCGCTCAAACTTGTCCGCCGATACGATGGCGTCGAACCTGGAGGGGTGGCATGGGACAGGCACCGGTGTGGTGAGAGGTGACTGCACCGATGCCACACACTCAGGCGCGCTTCTGACCCCACTGCTCCACACATGCGTTGCGTGTACCAGCCTCGGTGTCCCCTCTGCAAAGCAAAGGAATGGACTCTCCCCCTTCACATCACGAGCGCACCTGTCTTGTGGGATGCCTGCAGCTGCGAGGTTGGCGTCCACCTTCACTCGATCCGCACTGGACGCCACCGCTGTTCTCAGCCCTGCCGCGCGGCACTGGGGGCGCGAGAGAGAGAGCGAGGCCGAGGGAGGGCATACGTTGGGGATGACTGACAATGACAAGACGGAGAGGATACTGGATTGTTGAATGCATACTGGATGATTGAAGGCTGAGAGATAGGAACAGGCAGGAAGCACGCAAGGGAAGTCGTGATAAGGCCATGATGTCACTAAGATGTTTCGTCTCTTGAGACCGCAGTTTCTGCAATAGAAACTGTTAAATCCCCTCACTCACTCACAACCCTCCACTCCACTCCACTGTGCCGCTCTCAGGCACAGGGGCGTGTGCCTCACCTGCTCCACTAGCTTGAGCGCACCGGGGAAGCCAATGCCCGAGTTGGGCCGAGCGAACTGCAGGGGAGGCGAGAAGAGTGGAGCGCGGGAAGTGAAGGTGATCAATGGTAGTGCAGACACGATCAGTAGAAGTCATTGCTAGAGCAAGCTTTTGACTTTCATTCAAGTCTGATACGTCAGTGCTGAAATTCATTCTGGTAGGCACGTAGATGTAGAAATAGAATCTCAGATGGCAATGTTGAGACTCCGTCTGACCCGGTCAATGTAGATCTCGAAGAATCTCTTTTTGGCCTTGTCCGTGTCAAACCCCTCCACTCCGTACACCCGAGCCACACCGCCCAGGAAGTTGGCTTCACCTGAAACGGGAACAGCAAGATTTAACTGATTCTGCTGAATTCAGCTGACTGAATGCAACACATCGATGCCACTCTGGTAGCATTCCGCTGGTGGCTACTGCTTCTCATGATCAGGCGGCACCTACAGGAGCTCCTTTACCATACAAATGTTGTCGACTATCAGGTTCAGGGTCAATGCCACCCCTCACCTGTTCCCATGAAGGGGACGAAGTCTTGAGCCGTCACGGTCACGCCCATTTCCGCGAAGAGCGCGACGGCGGCTTCGCGCGAGGGGTCCTCGCTGTCGCACAGCACGCCGTCCATGTCGAACAGCACCGCACCCACCCGCGGCGCTGCTGCCTCGCCCGCTCCCGCACCCGCGCCTTCCGCAGCAGCACCATCCGCAGCAGCACCATCCGCGGCAGCCGCGGCTTTCACCGCCAGAACCCCCCGTCGAGGCAGTGCTCGCTTCTCCAGCGGAGCAGCGATGCCTGGTAGGCCAGGGAGTGGCCAGGCCGCGGGAATTGGGTTCGGAATGGCACGGCGTGGTAAGGAAGGCGAACGTTGCATGCTGGCTACATCCACTGCATTGCTCCTCCACGCGTGGCTGGATTCACTAGCCTTCCATCAGACACACTCCGTTGACAGAAATCTAATTCTGTAATTGGCTGGTTCATACATACAGGGGACTCTGTCAAGGGCTAACGCCGAGCATAGTAGCATTACGCGCACAAAAGGCCGTATTGGCCGAGCCTGGCTACTGAGATTCGGAAATTGATCACACTCAAGCCTAGATTGAATATGTCGGGACCTACCAGCGCTCAGAAGCGAGGCGAACGACAGATGTCTCCCCCGACGCCTGGTGGACAATGCATGGACCTTCCTTCCATGTGCATTCGGGTTCGCCTGATTCAAGGCACGCGGGACATTACTACTCAACCCTCCATGGTTGTTAGAGCAATCCGCGAGCAGCGGCGTGGTAACGTGGAATGCGAGAGAGGACACCATGGCTGCCAGCAACGCTGATCAGGCAAGCACCTGGAGAAAACTCGGGGCGTGGGTGAATGGAGAATTCAGCGCAGGCGTAGCAGCACAGCAGCGGCGAAACCGGGGTGGTGGCGAACGAGTGGCGACATCGAGCGAGGTGCTTCGCAGGAGGAACGGCAGCCTTCCACGTGGGCAATCGTTGTCCACATGCCCCAAGTGTTACAGAGCGATTCCAGCTTCTGGATATCAGCCTATCCAGTATATTACAACCATACTTCATGTCATCAGGCACGTAGGCATGGCTTACAATTGTTTTGTCATATAATTCATTCAATACATCATTTGCGGTAGTGCTTATATGGTGAGAGAAAGCTTGGCCAATGCAAGGATCCTTCAAATTTCATGGCTTCTGCCAAACTTTGGTCTGCGGGGTTCTTGTTCATTGCCTGTCTTGCTGCTAGCGGCTCCTCCTGTCCAAGTGGACGACTTGGGGACTTTATCCTGTGGTTTGTTCTCTTCCCCTGGTTTCAACAGCTCGAACTGGCACAGCAGCCTGGGCCCCTCTGCCTCATCGCCCTGCTCCCCCACCATGGGCCTTCCCTTGCGGTCGTACAGCGGCACACAGCGGAAGCCAGGCCGCAGGCCCATCACTGGCAGCACCACCTGCCCTCCAAAGTCGTCCTGGTACAGATTCTTCTCAAACAGCTGTGGCACGGAGCAATGCAGCACACAGGGGTTGGTGATCAGACAATGTCAGGCCCAAGTGCGAGGGGTTCACAGCACAAAGCACAAACATGAAATGACGATGAGGGTACAAACATCAAAGGGCAAATGTAACAGAGCTAAAACACTCCATATCGTTAGCAATGCGGGGGGGGTTAGAACGGCTCACATAGTCAAAAAATGGGTAGCAAGATGACGAAAGGCCCAGCACTTTGACCTGTGTGGTACCAAGGGAGGGCCACAGGAAGAAAGAAACTCGAGCTCGCGGAAAAGGGAATGGATGCACGATACAGCAACAAGAGAGGCCCGGGGAGGGGGGGAGAAAGGGAAAGGGGGGAGGGGCGGAGGTAGTGGAAAGGGGGACGATGGATGAAGGATTTCGATCTTTCTTGAAAAACGGCCGGCAGGGCAAAACGAAGTCATGGAGAAAGAGAGGAGATGCAGGGGAGCTCAACGGGGACTTCAGAGCAGACCTCAAAGCAGAGCAGGGCGAGTTGGGGGAGGGTGAGGGGGAAGAGCAGCGGTGTGTCGTCCCAGCAGGGGTTCCACTCGCCCACCCTGATGTCCAACCGCCTCTCCCCCACGTCCGCTGCCGCCCCCTCCACCGCCACCTGTGAGCCCCCCGTGCAGTGACGGGCAGAGGTGAGGGGGCAGGGGGAGAGAGGTGCGCACACGTATGGTGCATGGTACATGGTGTATGATGCATAAAGCATGACGCATGGTGGATGGCATGCACAGGAGAGGGTGAAAAGGGAACACTCAATGCAAGGCTGAAAGGCACTGAATGTACATCCCTGTGGCACTGGGCCCATGAGACACCATGGCCATGCCATGCCATGCCATGCCCCATGCAAGCACGCACCCGGCACAGCAGGCTGGGCCCGCCAGCATCGAAGTTGTTGTGGGAGAAGCGCGTGTACCACCCCGTGCCCAGGATCACATGCACCTGGCACCCGCACACACACGGGGGAGAGGGGGAGGAGGAGGGCGATGAAGAGAAGGCACACAGCAGAGAGGGCCTGGGTCAGAGGCGGAGCGGTGGGTTGGGTGGTGGTGCACATGGGGATGGCGGCCGTGCTGGGTGGGAGTGAGCGCAGCACATGGGCCTAGCGGACAAGTGATGCACACTGTACACATGCTCATGCCATGGCCAGTGTGCGAGGGTATGGAGGGGCGGCCACACGCACCCTGAGAAAGAGCTCCACGGGGCGCACTGCCTGGGGGTTGTACGGCACACTCTCCTGCCCCCCGCCCCCCCTCTCCCTCTCCTGCCCCTCCGCGTTCCCCTCCACAGCGCCCATGAGGCAGGCGGGCTTGCGGACGTAGCCACAGGCGCCGTTGGCGCGGAAGAAGCCATGCACGAGCCACAGCGGGCGGCCGTACCCCTGCATGTTCATCGCCACCATCTGCGCCCCGTGCAGCCACGCCTATAGTGCCGTGCCCAGGGGGAGGGACGCGCGGGTGGGGTGGGTTGAGAGACAGTCACATGGCTGGCAGCAGGCCCCCTGGGCATAACCCAGTGCACCACCAAGAGAAACAGTGCGAGAGACGCCCGGCAGCTGAGCCCGGCATGTAATATGGTGGATGTGCACATGTGGTTTCTCGCTATGTCACATGCAATGCAACGAACAAAGTGGCAACGATGGGCGGTGGGGGGTGGAGTGGCAGGAGCAGCACCTGCATGGGGTTGTAGTTGGATGACGTGACTCGCAGGCCGAACGGGTAGATGCGCAGCAGATGGCGCTGTGTGAACCTGAGCGGGGGACATGGCATGGGGAGGGATGAGGGACGAGGGGAAGAGAGTGGGGAGGCGTTGCTGGCATGCATCTGCACTGACTCCCAACACAGGACACGGAGAGCTGTGCGCGCGCGGGGGAGAAGGGTGTGCATGCGACATAGCTGCTGAGTGAAACTCTTCCCGCACGCCGTCCTTCATATGTCTGCCATGCACAATTTACTCCACTCCACGCCCATCATGCCTCCAACCCTCGCTCTTCGCTCCGCCTCCCTTTCAACCGTCCACCCCGTCCTTCCCATTCCGCCTGTCCCCGTGCATGGCACGCACCTGAGCAGCAGGTGGGGCGAGGAGCGCGCAGCGGTGGCGAGCTGGGTCTCGGACAGGGAGATGCGGCGCACCCCCTCGCCGTGCCCCACGGTGAGCCCCTCCTCCACGCTGCCGCCCTTGAGCTTGCCGCCCGGGATGGAGATGAGGCGGCGGTACTGCGGCACCTTGCCCGTCAGCGCGTCCTCTGCTGCCTCCTCCGCCGCGTCCTCCTGCGTCCACTGCACCTCCACCTGCCGGGCAGGGAACATGGAGGAGCAGCAGGAGTGGGGGCGAGCAGTAGGAGGGAAGGTCGGCATTGAGGGCATGCCTGTGGCACGTACAGGAGGGCAAGTTCTTTCAAAACTGGGTCATAATCCGCGCGCAAACCACTGGAACGGAGGGGATGCAGAGAGGGGCACGTGGAGCGGGCGAGGCAGTACGAACCTGGTGGAGGTGCGTCTCGTCCACCTGGTGCAGCTGCAACGACCGCCCCGACCACTGCCCACTGCTGTGCCCCATGCTGTGCCCCATGCTGTGCCCCATGCTGTGCCCCATGCTGTGCCCCATGCTGTGCCCCATGCTGCCCCACCCCACCCCACTGCCACTGCCTCGAGACGGACTCCCTCTGATGCGCCGAGAAAACTTCCTTGACCCGCCTGTAGGACTGCCTCTGCTGCCGCGCTGTCTGTTCCCCATGCTCAGCGCCGCCCCCAGCGCCACACTGGGGTCAACCCCCCCATCCTCGCCCCCCTCCGCCGCCACCGGGAAGGAAAAGGACTCCCGCCCCCCACGCGCCCGCCCGCTCCCCCCTGCTGCTGCCCCTGCCTCCGCGCCACTGCCCTCCCCCGCTGCCCCTGCACCTCCTCCCCTTCCCCCTGGGCCCCCCGCCACCTCTTCTATGCCCGATAGCTGGCTGATGCTGGCAGGTGCATGTGAGGATGGTAGGGGATGTGAGTGCGGGGGCGCAGCAGCAGCAGCAGCAGCAGCCGAAGCCAGCGTTGCAGTTGATGACCCCTCTGCCAGGTCTCTGAACGATAGCCAGTCCGCCTGGCCCCGTGCCAGCTCAGCACCATGGGAGTTGCATGCCACGTCAGCAGCGGGTAGAGTGCGAACCATACCATTAACAACACGGCCACTTGCCACATCATCCGATGAAGAAGCGCGCGCCACATCAGCAGATGAGGAAGCACGAGCCACATCAGCAGGCAAGTCGACACGTGCCACATTAGCAGGCGAGTCAACACGTGCCACATCACGATTACGTGGGGACATGCAACGTGGAGAGCATGGTTCAACGCCCGCAGTTTCCCGGAAGGATCCCCCAGGGGCAGGGGCGACGACAGTGGAGAGCTCCTTGGGCCCCTTGGGCGGCTGTGTGGACACGAGGATGCGGCGGCGCAGCGCGTAGGGCGAGGGGAAGTCGCCCTGGGGGAACTCGTCCTCGGGAATGTACAGCATGTCGCCCAACACCTCACACATCGCCTGGGGGGGTGGGAGGGAAGGGAAGTGAGGGGGGTAGGTGGAGTGGGTGGGAAAGAGGGTTCTGGCCTGGTTATGAGGAGGAGGAGAGGGCGGTGGGGAGTAGGGTGAGAGGAATATGAATCAGCTAGGCAAAGAGCATGGAACGACCAGAAGCATCACCTGAGCCGCGGTGGCCTGCAGCCTACCTGAGCAGCGATGGCCTGCAGGGGGGGCGGGAGGTGGTCCTCAAGGGTGATGATGACGGGGTAGTCCGACACCGCGAATGCATGCTCCTTTATCGCCCTTATGCAATCCGCAAACCCCACCGGCCGCGTCAGTGTGCTGCACCCATGCACGCAGGAGGGGGGGAGGGATGGGGGGGGTAAGGAATTCCAAGGACGGATTTGCTTGGGAGTGAAAGGGGGCAGGCAAGGTACCTACAACATATTAATTCTAATGACTTGATGCACTCACTCGACTTGTCAACGCATCTCTCTCTCTCTCGCTCCCTCACCCTCCGTGCTCCCTCACTCGCTCGCTCACTCGCACGCTCACCCCCCATGCATGACTCACCCCCCATGCATGACTCACCCCCCGTGCATGACTCACCCCCCATGCATGACTCACCCCCCATTCATGACTCACCCCCCATGCATGACTCACCCCCCATGCATGACTCACCCCCCATGCATGACTCACCCCCCGTGCATGACTCACCCCCCATGCATGACTCACCCCCCATGCATGACTCACCCCCCATGCATGACTCACCCCCAAAGCATGACTCACCCCCCATGCATGACTCACCCCCCATGCATGACTCACCCCCCATGCATGACTCACCCCCCGTGCATGACTCACCCCCCGTGCATGACTCACCCCCCATTCATGACTCACCCCCCATGCATGACTCACCCCCCATGCATGACTCACCCCCCGTGCATGACTCACCCCCCATGCATGACTCACCCCCCATGCATGACTCACCCCCCGTGCATGACTCACCCCCCATGCATGACTCACCCCCCATGCATGACTCACCCCCCATGCATGACTCACCCCCAAAGCATGACTCACCCCCATGCATGACTCACCCCCATGCATGACTCACCCCCCATGCATGACTCACCCCCCATGCATGACTCACCCCCCATGCATGACTCACCCCCCATGCATGACTGACCCCCCATGCTTGACTCACCCCCCATGCATGACTCACCCCCCATGCATGACTCACCCCCCATGCATGACTCACCCCCCATGCATGACTGACCCCCCATGCATGACTGGCCCCCATGCATGACTGACCCCCCATGCATGACTCACCCCCCATGCATGACTCACCCCCCGTGCATGACTCACCCCCCGTGCATGACTCACCCCCCGTGCATGATTCACCCCCCGTGCATGATTCACCCCCCATGCATGACTCACCCCCCATGCATGACTGACCCCCCATGCATGACTGGCCCCCATGCATGACTGACCCCCCATGCATGACTCACCCCCCATGCATGACTCACCCCCCGTGCATGACTCACCCCCCGTGCATGATTCACCCCCATGCATGACTCACCCCCCATGCATGACTCACCCCCCATGCATGACTCACCCCCCATGCATGACTCACCCCCCATGCATGACTGACCCCCCATGCATGACTGGCCCCCATGCATGACTGACCCCCCATGCATGACTCACCCCCCATGCATGACTCACCCCCCGTGCATGACTCACCCCCCGTGCATGATTCACCCCCCGTGCATGATTCACCCCCCATGCATGACTCACCCCCCATGCATGACTCACCCCCCATGCATGACTCACCCCCCGTGCATGACTCACCCCCCATGCATGACTCACCCCCCATGCATGACTGACCCCCATGCATGACTCACCCCCCATGCATGACTCACCCCCCATGCATGACTCACCCCCCATGCATGACTCACCCCCCCCGTGCATGACTCACCCCCCGTGCATGACTCACCCCCCATGCATGACTCACCCCCCGTGCATGACTCACCCGCCGTGCATGACTCACCCCCCATGCATGACTCACCCCCCATGCATGACTCACCCCCCATGCATGACTCACCCCCCATGCATGACTCACCCTCCGTGCATGACTCACCCCCCATGCATGACTCACCCCCCGTGCATGACTCACCCCCCATGCATGACTCACCCCCCATGCATGACTCACCCCCCATGCATGACTCACCCCCCATGCATGACTCACCCCCCATGCATGACTCACCCCCCATGCATGACTCACCCCCCATGCATGACTCACCCCCCGTGCATGACTCACCCCCCGTGCATGACTCACCCCCCATGCATGACTCACCCCCCATGCATGACTGACCCCCCATGCATGACTGGCCCCCATGCATGACTGACCCCCCATGCATGACTCACCCCCCATGCATGACTCACCCCCCATGCATGACTCACCCCCCATGCATGACTCACCCCCCATGCATGACTCACCCCCCGTGCATGACTCACCCCCCGTGCATGACTCACCCCCCATGCATGACTCACCCCCCGTGCATGACTCACCCCCCGTGCATGACTCACCCCCCATGCATGACTCACCCCCCATGCATGACTCACCCCCCATGCATGACTCACCCCCCATGCATGACTCACCCTCCGTGCATGACTCACCCCCCATGCATGACTCACCCCCCGTGCATGACTCACCCCCCATGCATGACTCACCCCCCATGCATGACTCACCCCCCATGCATGACTCACCCCCCATGCATGACTCACCCCCCATGCATGACTCACCCCCCATGCATGACTCACCCCCCGTGCATGACTCACCCCCCGTGCATGACTCACCCCCCATGCATGACTCACCCCCCATGCATGACTCACCCCCCCCGTGCATGACTCACCCCCCGTGCATGACTCACCCCCCATGCATGACTCACCCCCCGTGCATGACTCACCCCCCGTGCATGACTCACCCCCCATGCATGACTCACCCCCCATGCATGACTCACCCCCCATGCATGACTCACCCCCCATGCATGACTCCACCCTCCGTGCATGACTCACCCCCCATGCATGACTCACCCCCCGTGCATGACTCACCCCCCATGCATGACTCACCCCCCATGCATGACTCACCCCCCATGCATGACTCACCCCCCATGCATGACTCACCCCCCATGCATGACTCACCCCCCGTGCATGACTCACCCCCCGTGCATGACTCACCCCCCATGCATGACTCACCCCCCATGCATGACTCACCCCCCGTGCATGACTCACCCCCCGTGCATGACTCACCCCCCGTGCATGATTCACCCCCCATGCATGACTCACCCCCCATGCATGACTCACCCCCCATGCATGACTCACCCCCCATGCATGACTCACCCCCCATGCATGACTCACCCCCCATGCATGACTGATCCCCATGCATGACTCACCCCCCCATGCATGACTCACCCCCCATGCATGACTCACCCCCCGTGCATGACTCACCCCCCGTGCATGACTCACCCCCCATGCATGACTCACCCCCCGTGCATGACTCACCCCCCGTGCATGACTCACCCCCATGCATGACTCACCCCCCATGCATGACTCACCCCCCATGCATGACTCACCCCCCATGCATGACTCACCCTCCCGTGCATGACTCACCCCCCATGCATGACTCACCCCCCGTGCATGACTCACCCCCATGCATGACTCACCCCCATGCATGACTCACCCCCCATGCATGACTCACCCCCCATGCATGACTCACCCCCCATGCATGACTCACCCCCCATGCATGACTCACCCCCCATGCATGACTCACCCCCCAGTGCATGACTCACCCCCCGTGCATGACTCACCCCCCATGCATGACTCACCCCCCATGCATGACTCACCCCCCCAGTGCATGACTCACCCCCCCGTGCATGACTCACCCCCCATGCATGACTCACCCCCCATGCATGACTCACCCCCCAGTGCATGACTCACCCCCCATGCATGACTCACCCCCCATGCATGACTCACCCCCCATGCATGACTCACCCCCATGCATGACTCACCCCTCCGTGCATGACTCACCCCCCATGCATGACTCACCCCCCATGCATGACTCACCCCCCATGCATGACTCACCCCCCCATGCATGACTCACCCCCCATGCATGACTCACCCCCCATGCATGACTCACCCCCCATGCATGACTGACCCCCCATGCATGACTGGCCCCCATGCATGACTGACCCCCCATGCATGACTCACCCCCCATGCATGACTCACCCCCCGTGCATGACTCACCCCCCGTGCATGATTCACCCCCGTGCATGATTCACCCCCCATGCATGACTCACCCCCCATGCATGACTCACCCCCCATGCATGACTCACCCCCCGTGCATGACTCACCCCCCATGCATGACTCACCCCCCATGCATGACTGACCCCCATGCATGACTCACCCCCCATGCATGACTCACCCCCCATGCATGACTCACCCCCCCATGCATGACTCACCCCCCCCGTGCATGACTCACCCCCCGTGCATGACTCACCCCCCATGCATGACTCACCCCCCGTGCATGACTCACCCGCCGTGCATGACTCACCCCCCATGCATGACTCACCCCCCATGCATGACTCACCCCCCATGCATGACTCACCCCCCATGCATGACTCACCCTCCGTGCATGACTCACCCCCCCATGCATGACTCACCCCCCGTGCATGACTCACCCCCCATGCATGACTCACCCCCCATGCATGACTCACCCCCCATGCATGACTCACCCCCCATGCATGACTCACCCCCCATGCATGACTCACCCCCCATGCATGACTCACCCCCCATGCATGACTCACCCCCCGTGCATGACTCACCCCCCGTGCATGACTCACCCCCCATGCATGACTCACCCCCCATGCATGACTGACCCCCCATGCATGACTGGCCCCCATGCATGACTGACCCCCCATGCATGACTCACCCCCCATGCATGACTCACCCCCCATGCATGACTCACCCCCCATGCATGACTCACCCCCCATGCATGACTCACCCCCCGTGCATGACTCACCCCCCGTGCATGACTCACCCCCCATGCATGACTCACCCCCCGTGCATGACTCACCCCCCGTGCATGACTCACCCCCCATGCATGACTCACCCCCCATGCATGACTCACCCCCCATGCATGACTCACCCCCCATGCATGACTCACCCTCCGTGCATGACTCACCCCCCATGCATGACTCACCCCCCGTGCATGACTCACCCCCCATGCATGACTCACCCCCCATGCATGACTCACCCCCCATGCATGACTCACCCCCCATGCATGACTC